AGGTACTAAAGCCAAGGGTGTATGGGAGTGCATTAGTTGCAAGCACACCGACCGAAAAAACAGGAAGCAAAAATCTGTTTGTACCTGATGCAACGAGTGCGAATTTGCATTGTGTACCATGGACTGCTTCGTTATTATCACTCAGTACTGAGTGTGTAATACAATGTGTGACTGTATAAATAGTGTGTGAAAGTGTACATATTGTAAATATATTGAATATTGAACAGGTAATATTGCAACAATGAACATTTGTTGTGGACACGTTACTGACACATGTATCACAGTTCCATGGAACATTATGAACGTTCTACTGTATACATATTGTAAAGGACACAACTGTCCATCATATATGGTAAAAAACTATTTATAAAGCATTGGAAATACATAGAAAAAAGAAATGTTAATATATTTGTGGCAACTTGTGAGGCATGAATGGCGCAGGCGACTGCCTTTGGGAGCTTCACGCACAGGCAAACAGCCCGTGATGAGATCATGTACTACATTGTCTATGTCCCCACAGCCAAAGTAAGTGTGGTCTTACCACTACACCACAGTCTCTGTGGTGTAGTGGTAAGACACTCGCCTAGTGTTCCACGAGCGCTATGTCTTGGGTTCGTATCCTGGCCGGGGAGGATTTACTGGGCGCAATTCCTTAACTGTAGCCTCTGTTTAACCCCATAACTGCGTTGCCTCCAAATGTGACACCCCCGCAGTGCACAGGAAATAAATTCTCTGGAAAAAATTCTTTTTTCTTTTTAAAGTGTCAAAAACCCTTCCCTCAGTATGGGTATGTAAAAAAAAAGGTCGAAATTGTACTTACTTTGGCTGCTATGGGGTCTGGAAGTTGGGGCGTGACGTCATCATTCCCCGTGGGCCCATGCCATAAGCTCTCGGGGGCGGTGGGGCGCTCGGGACGGGGTGTGCGAGTTGCCGCGAATATATTTTCGTTCATTTTTTGCGCACCTTTCCAAATACATTTTTATTGTTTTTATGTGCCAATCCAATGTATAATGAACACGTACACTATAATATCACAGTACAACATCCGTACTGTCCGTAGACACTGTGTTACGTGCAGGAAACTTGTGTACACATATGCAGCACATATTTACTATGTATCATGCTAATTTGTGTATATATACAATCTATTTACACACTATACACTGTCACACACTATATACATTCACTATCAACACATTCAGAACACGGCGAGTGAGAGCTGCCACACCCAGCCAGCCCTCCCTCACTTCTCCAACATTGTATTCGCCAACTTTGCCCCTCCCATCATACAGTTATTCACACCAATGTTTCATGTTCATTTATGTATATTTACAACATATGTACTCACTATACACTGTCACACACTATATACATTTACCATCAACACATTCAGAACATCGCGTAGCAGCTGCTTCGTATGGGCCAATAGCAGCTGCTTCGTATGGGCCAATAGCAGCTGCCTCGTATGGGCCAATAGCAGCTGCCTCGTATGGGCCAATAGCAGCTGCCTCGTATGGGCCAATAGCAGCTGCCTCGTATGGGCCAATAGCAGCTGCCTCGTATGGGCCAATAGCAGCTGCCTCGTATGGGCCAATAGCAGCTGCCTCGTATGGGCCAATAGCAGCTGCCCCGTATGGGCCAATAGCAGCTGCCCCGTATGGGCCAATAGCAGCTGCCCCGTATGGGCCAATAGCAGCTGCCCCGTATGGGCCAATAGCAGCTGCCTCGTATGGGCCAATAGCAGCTGCCCCGTATGGGCCAATAGCAGCTGCCCCGTATGGGCCAATAGCAGCTGCCCCGTATGGGCCAATAGCAGCTGCCTCGTATGGGCCAATAGCAGCTGCCTCGTATGGGCCAATAGCAGCTGCCCCGTATGGGCCAATAGCAGCTGCCCGTATGGGCCAATAGCAGCTGCCCCGTATGGGCCAATAGCAGCTGCCCCGTATGGGCCAATAGCAGCTGCCGCGTATGGGCCAATAGCAGCTGCCTCGTATGGGCCAATAGCAGCTGCCGCGTATGGGCCAATAGGAGCATTTGGCCATGAACACATTCAGAACACCTCGAGTGAGAACCCAGCCAGTCTCCCTCACACCCTTAGCCATTGTCTCCCTCACTCCAACATCTTACTCGCCCCAACATTGCTCCTCCCAGTTTCCTCTTGAAAATATTGCTATATGTTCTTATTACACATGTTCTATATACCTATCTACATGTTGCTTATTTACCATGAACTATGCAAGTAAGCCGGTATTGTGTCCAAACAGTACAGTGGCCACCATACACTGCATGAAAAATTACACAGCAGACGACGCTACGATTACGTCACGTCCCTCACCAAAATAGCTCCTCTCAACATTCTCCTGTTGCTGTTCTTACACTATATACACACACTATATATACCCATGTACATATGTGTTGCCCATAGCGAACCACTAAGCTAGTATGGAGCAAAACAAGAGTGGCAGCCACACACACACAATGAGGCTACCTCAATTCTCGCCCTCCCTCCCTCATCAAAATTCCTCCTTCCACAATAATACGCACAACGCTAATTATAACCACAATCCTGCTATTATCACAATTCTGGTCACTAATTCCTGTAAATGAATAATTGACCACACGTTTATTTTGAAAAGGAACTTAAGAAATCATTTGAAGATTCCTAGATGAACGAAATAATGCTGTGGTGCTGTGGCTAGCACTGTGAACATCGTGAACAGCATTGAATCATTGATATTTGAACATTGTACCCAGTCATTATCACACTCAGGCTCTAATATAACACTATCATAGCTAAATAATACAAGTTATATATATATTTTGACATTATTAGGCGAAGCTGTGGTCACATGCTGAACAGCAGTGCTGTGCGCTCATGGTGCGAGCACCAGCCTTGGTTGCTCACACACTACTGAGGCTCCCACACCCGGGAATGTGGACCACGATTTTTTTTAAAGATGACGTCTGTTTACAAGAGCCCTGAGGAAGCTGATGTGAACCCCATGTAGCCACGGGAGTTTTGAATGGAACGTGAAAAATACAAATACCCGGAGGCGCGTTGCGCAAACCAGACGTGAGCCTGCAGGCGTGTTGCGCAGTTTAAGGGTTAATGCAAAAGTAAAATGTGTACTTGGATGAAAAAATGATTATTCGTGGCAGGGGATCGTATTCCAGGGACCATAGGATTAAGGACTTGCCCGAAACGCTACGCGTACTAGTGGCTGTACAAGAATGTAACAACTCTTGTATATATCTCAAAAAAAAAAAAAAAAAAATGGAATTTTTTTTTTTTTTTTTTTACATGAACATGTTCAGGGAAGGGAATTTATCATTTTACAAAGAAAACAAATTTTTGGGCGAACACTTGATTTTTGGCACAGCCAGAGTTTAATGATAAACGTGGCACATTACAGTGGTTACTCCCTTGGTTTGTGCCTCTGGCATTTAAAACATTTCTACAGCTTAAACATTAGACTGTGCCAACTGAGAAAACTTAGTCGGTTGGAAATTGTGCCAACCGAGAAAAAACTTTTTGATTGATTGGTCAACTCTTTTTGATTTTCTGTACCCATTCAAAATGTGTGCGCGGTAGGTTGTGTATGAAATGGATTCTTAGAACCTCCAGTGAGAGGCAGCCATCTTGGACAAAATTCCCAGAATGCCTTAGGGCTGTTGGCTGGGTTAGTACTGAGTGAGCAACCAAGGGTGGCTCACGTGCCTCTGGCTCCCAAACACCTGTCCGACGCAGTGTTGAAAGATAGTGCTCTGTCGCTAAAATTCAGACCTTATTGTTTGAAGAACATAAGGGTTATGATATTGGTGAAGCTAGGCGCAATTAGGACCTGACACAAAGGTCGGATGCCTGTGATACAGCACCTATGAGGATGATTCAGGGAGCGTATCCAGCTGTAGCTCTGAGTGCCACCCTCGCCCACCAATGCCATCTCCAATTTTTATAAATGATACATAGATGAATCGTTTTCTGGGTTCAGTGATGATGAATCTGATACAAGTAGCATAGATAAACAGTGTTAGTGGCTTCCATGGTGGTATTTTCCATAGGAATTCAAGAAAAGCTGAATCTCTTCCAGAATACCTGAATCTCTTCCAGATTAACTGACACTCTTTGAGGTTAGCTGAATCTCTTCCAGTGTGGGATCTTACAAAGCGATCATTTCAAGATTTCCTTACAAATTTATCTTTTCCTATAATCATTTCAGTACTACCTTATGCTTATTGGCAAAAGCTTGGCTACATACCACCTACAAGTACTAAACCCAAGGGTGTACATGAATGCGTTATTTGCAAGCACATAGTACGAAGAAACAGGAAGCGAAAATCTATCTGTACCTGGTGCAATGAGAGTAAAGTTGCGCTATGTACCATGGACTACTTCGTTGATTATTACTTTCTTCTGAAGTACTAAGTGTGTAATACAGTGTGTTACTGTGTTAATAGTGTGTGAATCTGTAGATATTATAATTATAGTGAATTTTTTAACGAGTGATATTGCGACAATAAACATTTATTGTGGACACATTACTGACACATGTATCACAGTTCCATGGAACATTATGAATGTTCTACTGTATACATATTGTAAAGGACACAAATATGCATCATATACGATAAAAAAAAAACAAATAAATCTGCATTGGAAGTACATAGAACAAACAATTGAAAATATATTTGTGGTAATTCGCAGTGCTTGAATGGCCCACGCGCCCATGTCTGGGAGCGTCACACACAGGCGACCACCCCCTGATGATGTCACAGCACACCTTGTCCATGTCTCCACAGCCAAATTCAGTGGAATTTGTTATTTATTTTTATATGTACATGTTCAGGGAAGGGAATTTATCATCTTACAAAGAAAAAAGAATATTTGGGGAACACATGATTTCACGAACACCGGTGTAATGTCACAATAAACTCAGTGCATCACAGTGGTTAATGTTGGTTAATGTAATTACAACTATTTTTTCTATATTTTTCTACAGTGTATAGATCCTGAGCATTACTGTGGTAAATCAATGCTGATGAGAGTGTTTGATGATCAGCCATCATCTTCATCTCTTCAAACACTCACACTTGGACCATTCTCCATGGACCCCAGGAAAAAATGTAAGCACATTTTATTTTAAGTATTTGTTGCTTATCTTAGCCATAATCTTTTTAGTATATTTTTGCATATACAGAGGAACCTTGTGTGATGAGCAGCCCCATCTACGAGCATTTCAGGTAATGAGCGAGCAACTCGCAGAAAATTTGTCTCGATTGACGCGCTTCCGCTTGATTAGCGAGAAAACCACGTGGTGCTTCCTAGCGTTTCCACTGATTCTCGCAAATTCTCGTACGCCTCTGATGACAGTGTTGTTGTTTTATTGCATAGGATAAGCATCCCTCCGCATTTATTTGTACTTTTCTTTTTTCTTTTTTTTGTAATTTTGTGACTACAATTTGTAACCCATGATGTTGCCAAAGACCAGGGTTAGGCACCCAGAAAGGTAGGCATAACAAAACAAACCCTCACATGGTAAGAAACTAAAACAAAAAAATGAACAGAGAGGTAGAAAGTCCCTACAATCCCAAGAAACAAGCAAACAAGCAAACATCACACTTTACTGCCGCGCCGATTGTCCGCGCAGCCGTCCCCGCCCCAGGAGGGGAAGGGGGGGGGGCCCGGACCTCACCACGCCGGCTGCCTAGCACCAGTTCGGAAACTTAGCTTCAACCAACGTGAAAAAAACGCCGACCGATGGGAGGGAGGGTTGCCAGGGAGCCTCCAGGAGCTCACCCAGAAAATAGCGTTTCATTACATTAAATGCTGATTTTCTGTAGGGAGCCCCTATGGCTTCCTGAAGCTTCATACCTAAAGAGAAGGAAAAGAAAAGGCTGATCCAGGAGGCGGCTGTCACAAACTCGGCAATGTGAAGTCGAGACAACTAGCAGCAACCTGCAATCCAAGGCAACACAAGAAAGCACAGGAGCAGACACGCTCACAAATGAACGGGTGGCCAGGAACCTGTGCGATCCCCAAATCCTCGCGCCTGAAATGAGCCCAAGACGTCACCAAACATGGCAGCGAAAGCTGCAAACGTCCGAATGGCATGGGCGCAAGGATAGACAGCAGGCTGGTAGACATAAGAAAGCTGCAGACGACCTGGGAGACCTGAGCCCTGAACAGGGAACCAGGGAACCGGATCAACCCAAAGCGCATCCCTAGCCACGGCACGCAGGTAACGGCAAAGAGCCACAACCGGACAACACATGTCACACCCCTGGCTGAACCAACCAAGCATCAAAAACCCCAGGACCCCTCCGGAAAGCAGCCGTCTTGACTGTCGCCAGAAGGATGGAGAAAGGCTGCAAGTGTACAAACCTACCACCAGTACCAAAAGAGCAGAAACCCCTGCACTGGAAGAGCCGGAAGCTTCCCAACCCAACCCGCAGAGGCCCATGCCAACAAAATATGGCCTATGAAAACCAAACATGAACCGAAGGGACTACTACAAACTGATGAGAAGAAGATAAAAGAGCGCACCCTGATGAAGGACCAGGACGGCTCAGGCGATGCATGAGCAGGCCGGAGGTGAAACAAAACACGAGAAAGCGTACGGAACGGGGCGGATGTGATGTCCACCCCGAACGCAAGCCGGAGCGGCTCTGCCAGCACCACACGTAACGAGGCGACAGTAAGAATCATCAAATAACTGTAGTCCTGAAAACCCAAGAAAGGACAAGACAACCCGATGCGAAAGAGAAGACAACCTACGAAGAGCAAGAAAAAGGTGAATAGAAACACCAGGAACGTCATACTGTCACCAAGACGAAGCTCGCAGGTGGGACCCGCCCCAAAGAGCCAAGGACCGCATCGAACCCCCCCAGTTCAGGCAATGAACCACTGGAGAACAGTCCAAATGGAGCTGGCTCATTGATCTGTGAGCGACCCGAATCCTCCGGAGCTTCATCCACACAGCCGTGAACTCCCGTACCGTGCTGTGAGCCCGACAGAAGGACGGACTCTACAGTTCCTGGCCGGCCTGCTGAGCACTGGTCACCGGCCCAGAGACGACGCATCTATGAACACATCGAGCGAGGGCTCAGGTAGGCACCAAGGCACTGAACCTCGAAAACCCAAAGCGGAATCCAGCGACGCAGCACCCGATGCAAAGCCCCCAGAGACTGAACCCAGTGGTCATGAAAGACGCAAAAGGAACATCCCCAAAGGAACCAGAACTGCAGAGGAAGCCACACCCGACCTGGTGGGTAGACCACCACGACAAAGTTCAGGCTTCCGCACAAACCCTTGAATAACTGTCATGTGACCTGGGAGCCCTTCAAAAATAGATGAAGGCAGCCGAACCAGAGCCACTGGATGGAGAGACAAAGAAGTGGTCCAAGTGTCCAACACAAGACCCACCCAAGACCGAACCTGAGAAGGAACCAGATGGGACTTTTGCCAGTTCACCAGGAACTCGAACCAAGTGAGCTGGGAAAGAACCAAATCCCTGGCAAGCAGACATGCAGAGTTGCTGGGATCCCACACCAGCCAGTCGTCGAGATAGTCCGGAACCCGGACACCTAACAGACGCAAGCAGGCCACTACGACCTGAGTAAGGCATGTGAAAATGCGAGGAGCCAGATTCAAACTGAATGGAAGGCAACGAAAGTGGTAACTCTGATACCCCACAACGAAACCGAGCCAGTCCCTGAACCTCGGTTGAATTGGCACATGCCAATATGCGTCGTTGAGGTTCAGAGACACCATCCAAGTGTCCGGCTCCAACAAAGACGGACCTGGGATTGAGTAGTCATCGGAAAGGAGGGGCAGTAAACACAAGGGTTCAGACTGGACAAGTCCAGAAGGAACCTGAGGTCCGTCCGCACAGTCTCGTTTCGGGACCGGAAATAGGCGGGAAACCCACCTGAGGAATGAGGTCATTTCGACCACACCCAAGCGAAGCCACTCCGAGACGACCTGACAGAGCGCAAAAGAAGAGGCCAGCCCTGCTAGCCCCAAACCCCCGAAGGAGGAGAGGCCACCAAACTTCAGCCGAACCCCCAAACATACCAGCGATACAAAGATGCGAGAAACAACTACACGGCAGTGAGGAGAGAGGCAGAAAGAAATTTTGAAAAAGGGATTGCGGACAAATGTAAAACAGAACCAGGTCTATTCTATAAATTCATAAACAACAAATTGCAGGTAAAGGATAATATTCAGAGGTTGAAAATGGGAAATAGATTCACGGAAGATGAAAAGGAAATGTGTGAAACACTAAACGAAAAGTTCCAAAGTGTGTTTGTACAAAATGAAATCTTTAGGGAACCAGATACAATAAGAATTCCAGAGAACAACATAGAACACATAGAGGTGTCTAGAGACGAAGTGGAAAAAATGCTCAAGGAGCTCGGTAAGAACAAAGCAGCTGGCCCAGATGGCGTTTCACCATGGGTTCTGAGAGAATGTGCATCTGAGCTCAGCATTCCACTTCACCTGATCTTTCAGGCATCCCTGTGTACAGGAATCGTAGCAGACGGGTGGAAACAGGCTAACATAGTTCCAATCTACAAAAGTGGCAGCAGGGAAGACCCCCTCAATTATAGACCTGTATCATTGACAAGTGTAATAGTGAAAGTATTGGAAAAACTAATCAAAACTAAATGGGTAGAACACCTAGAGAGAAATGATATAATATCAGACAGACAGTATGGTTTTCGATCTGGAAGATCCTGTGTATCGAATTTACTCAGTTTCTATGATCGGGCCACAGAGATATTACAGGAAAGAGATGGCTGGGTTGACTGCATCTATCTGGACCTAAAAAAGGCTTTCGACAGAGTTCCACATAAGAGGTTGTTCTGGAAACTGGAAAATATTGGAGGGGTGACAGGTAAGCTTCTATCATGGATGAAAAATTTTCTGACTGATAGAAAAATGAGGGCAGTAATCAGAGGCAATGTATCAGAATGGAGAAATGTCACAAGTGGAGTACCACAGGGTTCAGTTCTTGCACCAGTGATGTTTATTGTGTACATAAATGATCTACCAGTTGGTATACAGAATTATATGAACATGTTTGCTGATGATGCTAAGATAATAGGAAGGATAAGAAATTTAGATGATTGTCATGCCCTTCAAGAAGACCTGGACAAAATAAGTATATGGAGCACCACTTGGCAAATGGAATTTAATGTTAATAAATGTCATGTTATGGAATGTGGAATAGGAGAACATAGACCCCACACAACCTATATATTATGTGAGAAATCTTTAAAGAATTCTGATAAAGAAAGAGATCTAGGAGTGGTTCTAGATAGAAAACTATCACCTGAGGACCACATTAAGAATATTGTGCAAGGAGCCTATGCAATGCTTTCTAACTTCAGAATTGCATTTAAATACATGGATGGCGATATACTAAAGAAATTGTTCATGACTTTTGTTAGGCCAAAGCTAGAATATGCAGCTGTTGTGTGGTGCCCATATCTTAAGAAGCACATCAACAAACTGGAAAAGGTGCAAAGACATGCTACTAAGTGGCTCCCAGAACTGAAGGGCAAGAGCTACGAGGAGAGGTTAGAAGCATTAAACATGCCAAAACTAGAAGACAGAAGAAAAAGAGGTGATATGATCACTACGTACAAAATAGTAACAGGAATTGATAAAATCGACAGGGAAGACTTCCTGAGACCTGGAACTTCAAGAACAAGAGGCCATAGATTTAAACTAGCTAAACACAGATGCCGAAGAAATATAAGAAAATTCACCTTCGCAAATAGAGTGGTAGACGGTTGGAACAAGTTAAGTGAGAAGGTGGTGGAGGCCAAGACCGTCAGTAGGTTCAAAGCGTTATATGACAAAGAGTGCTGGGAAGACGGGACACCACGAGCGTAGCTCTCATCCTGTAACTACACTTAGGTAATTACACTTAGGTAATTACAGGTCGCACGAAATAATACGAAACGCCCACAAATCGTGGGACTAGGCGCGAGCAAACAGAGCAAACCTTTCCCCTCACCACCCCGTCAGCCAACGCACCTTATGAGCACCTAAGCGACACACAGGGCAATCACCGTGCCGGACAAAAACAGATTCTACAGAAGGCTGCACCAGTGCC